GATAAATTCCGGTGAGTTTTCTGCACGTGCAGCCCAGCACTCACGCGCCTCTAATCTGGCAATAAGCTTAAACGATCAATTACACGACTAGACGCTGGTAAGCAATGAGGGTCCGGCTTAACTACTCTCGATAGTCCTCCTGATACTCTGAGTCTTAGGTTTGGATCGGACCCTTAACTACAACATCGCGAGTGATTTCTGCCCTACGCAATGTGCAACACTCATGACTCATGAACATTCGGAACTTTAGGACCCAACCCCTCTCTTCCTGCACAACCGCCTCCTGCTCCCCCATTGCCGGTGATCCGCGCAGCCGCGGAGTCCGCGGGGCTTCCGCCGTCGTCGTACGAGCGCGAGTTTGCGCAGTACCGCGGAGCGGACGGGTTGCTGTCGCTCGACTATCTCAAAGCGCCGCACACGTCGCACAGCAATGGCCGTGGCCGGAAAACTCTCGATCAGATATTTAAAGTTGTTTTTGTGAGTTCGATCCATCCTTCCGCTACGTCCCCTCCTCCCTATATCTTCCACCCGCACTCCTTCCCAGCCCGATGTTCTTCCCGCGTCTTCCGCTCCCGTCCGCCTCTTCTGGGTTTCCGCGCCTCCGTCATCCCTGTTCCACCTCTTCTGGATTTCCTCCCTCGCTTCCGCGCTCACTCCCTCAACGTCCCCGTCTTATACTAGCTTCCCGCACTTCCCGCTTTCCGCCTCTCGCAATGCCCCTCTTTTCCTTCTTCCGTTCCCCTCCCTCATTACTCCCCCGTCCTCCCACCCTCCACTTCCCCCACCCCGCTTTCCCCCTCCCCCACGTACTTCCCACTTCTCCGTTCCGCCAGTGCTCCCCCGATCCCGGCCCCGCGGCCCCGCCGACCAGCAACCTCCTAAAGAACCCTCGATTCCAGGAAGGGCTGTCGTCGTGGCAGGCCTTCGGCGAGTCGTCCTTGCGCCGCGCGCAGGCCGCCAACTACTCGTACGGCGTGTCGTACGCGCGGCGCGAGGAGTCCGCGGGGCCGGCGCAGACGATACGTAACCTGCCGGCCGCGGTGTATCAGTTCGCGATCTGGGTGAAGCTGGGTGCTGCCGGCGGGCCGGCTAGCGGGCCGGCCGTCAGCACGGCCGGCTTACCTGCCGTTGGCCGGCAGTACGTGAACGCGATGGCGAAGATCGACGGGCGGTACGTGTGTATCGGCGGCGCGAACGCGCGGCAGTCGTGCTGGACGAAGGTGATTGGCGGATTCACCCTGCATCGGACGGCTGGCGAGGTCTCGGTGTACATCCAAGGCGCGACGGTCGGGACGGAGGTCTGGGTGACGTCAGCGTCGCTGGTAAAGGTTGATACGGCGATGTGGCGACAGCGGCAGAATGATAATATAAAAAAGGTCAGTGGAAGAGGTGGTCTTCAAATTTTGGAGTCCGCTCAAGTAGCAAGAGTGCTTGTGAGCGATTATTGAGGATTCTGAAGAATGCTTAGTTTGAAGTGATACCTACTCGGGTTGGAAGGGCTGGGGAGTGCGGAGCAGGGGCGATATTGACTGGCACAACCTTTAGAGTCCGCCTGCCTCTGACTCTCGTGCACCGCACTCCCATTCTCATCCCACCAACCTCCTCCCTCCCGTTCAGGCCCGCCTCTCAGCCTCCTCCCCATTCTCATCCGCCTCCCTATCCTCCCTTTCCCCCTCCCTTCATACCTTCCCCTTCCCCACAGCACCATCAACGAGTCGTCACATCACGGGTGCACGGAGCAGGGGCGGTATCAGCGCGCGTGCAGATCGACCAGGTGACTTCGGAGTTTTCATTCAGAGCCTCCTGCCCTCCATGCTCCCCATCCGTCTTCCCCCATCCCCACAGCACCGCCAGCGAGACGTGACGCTCCGATTGCACGGGGCAGGGGCGATATCAGCGCGCGTGCAGATCGACCAGGTGACTTCGGAGTTCTCATCTAACCCTCCGCCCTCTATTCTCTCCCTCCCCCCTCGTCCGCCTCCCCACAGTACCGCCAACGAGACGTGACGCTGCGAGTGCACGGAGCAGGGGCGATATCAGCGCGCGTGCAAATCGACCAGGTGACCTCGGAGTTCCCGTTTGGAGCCAACGTTAATGGCGCTATCCTCTACGACAAAAACTACCAGCGGGTGGGTGTGGTTGGGTGCGGGTGGGTGTGGTTGGGTGCGGGTGGGTGCGTGCGTGGTTACCACTTAGAGGAGAATGCCTATCAGCGCGCGTGCAGATCGACCGGGTGACTTCGGAGTTCCCGTTTGGAGCCAACGTGAACGGCAGCTATCCTCTACGACAAAACTACCAGCGGGTGGGTGTGGGTGGGTGTGGGTGGGTGCAGGTGCAGCGGGTGGGTGCGGATGGGTGCGGGTGGGTGCGGGTGGGTGCGGGTGGGTGCGTGGTTACCACTTGGAGGAGGATGCCTATCAGCCCGCGTGCAGATCGACCAGGTGACCTCGGAGTTCCCGTTTGGAGCCAACGTGAACGGCAGCTATCCTCTACGGCCGTAATGGACTACATTGTGACCCCATCTCTCTCTTTCTCTCCCCTCCCCCCCCAGCACCTGCTCTCTCTCCCTCCCTACTGTGGTTCCTGAGTCGGTTCAACTGGGCAGTGTTCAACAACAAAGAGAAATAGTTTTTTCAAGGAACAGAGCCTGAGCGCACTAGACTACAATGTAAACTCCATTCCCACCCTGCGCTTTCTCTCTGTCTCCCTGACATCTCTTCTCTCTTCCCCTCTACAGTGGTTCCTAAACAGGTTCAACTGGGCGGTGTTCAACAACGAGGCCAAGTGGTATTTCAACGAGCAGCAGCCGGGCGTATTAGACTACAACGTTACTGATAAGCTCGTGGAGTGGTTCACTCCTTTCCACCCTCTTTCTACCCCCTTCCACCCCTCTCCACCCCATTTCACACACTCCCATCCCTTCAGTGGTTCTTAAACAGATTCAACTGGGCAGTGTTCAACAACGAGGCCAAGTGGTATTTCAACGAGCAGCAGCCGGGCGTATTAGACTACAACGTTACTGATAAGCTCGTGGAGTGGTTCACTCCTTTCCACCCTCTTTCTACCCCCTTCCACCCCTCTCCACCCCATTTCACACACTCCCATCCCTTCAGTGGTTCCTAAACAGGTTCAACTGGGCAGTGTTCAACAATGAGGCCAAGTGGTATTTCAACGAGCAGCAGCCTGGCGTATTAGACTACAATGTGACAGACGCGCTGGTGCACTGGTCAACCCCTTCTTTCTACCCTCTATCATCACCCCCCTCCACCCCTCTCCACCCCCTTTCACCCATTCTTATCCCTGCTGCCTCTTCTCTCTCCCATCCATGCAGTGGTTCCTAAACAGGTTCAACTGGGCGGTGTTCAACAACGAGGCCAAGTGGTATTTCAACGAGCAGCAGCCAGGCGTATTAGACTACAATGTTACTGATAAGCTCGTGGAATGGTTCACACAGAGGAACGTCAAAGTGCGCGCTCACAACATCTTCTGGGCCGTTGAAAAGTTTGTGCAGACGTGGGTCAAGGTGAGTCAACGCTGGTCAGTCAATGTAGGTAAAGGCGGGTCAAGGTGAGTCAATTTAGGTTAATGTTGGACAAGTTGAGTCGATATGTCAGTTAGAAACAACCACCTCTCCCCCCTTTGTCTCCCATTACCCCATCTCCCCTCCACTCATCCCTTCAGGGCCTCAACAACACCTCCTTATTTGCAGCGATGCAGAGGCGCATGACCAGTGCAGTGACGCGCTACAGAGGGAAGGTGCAGCACTGAGATGTGATCATGAGCCTCATTGCCCCCTTACTCTTTGCCCATTCGCCCATTGCCCCATCCTCTTCCTCTTCCCCAGGGCCTCAACAACACGTCCTTATTTGCAGCGATGCAAAGACGCGTTAAAAGTGCAGTGACACGCTACCGAGGCAAGGTGCAGCACTGGGATGTGATCAACGAGCCTCTGCATGGCAACTACTACGGGCAGCGGTTGGGTGGGACTGTGCACTCGTGGATGTTCAAGGCCGCGCGGGCGATTGATCCTAATGTCAGGTTGTTTCTTAACGAGTACAACACTGTGGAGCAGTGCGACAGCCAGGCTAACCCGGAGATATACCTGGAGGTAATATGGGATGTAATGTAGGCACGTGAAGTGACACAGTGAGTGCACCTGTTCCTAACGAGTACACACTGTGGAACAGTGCGACAGCCAGGCTAACCCAGAAATTTACCTCGAGGTGAGCTGGGGGTTGTTGGCAACAAGAGAAGCTGCAGAGTTGAGTTGAGTGTAATGCAGCTGTTCTAAACGAGTACAACACTGTGGAGCAGTGCCCAGAGATTTACCGTGATGTGCGTGGGTGGGAGGGCAAGGGGGGCAAGGGGGGGAGAAAGAGAAGTGGCAGATTGGAGAGTGTAGTGCAGCTGTTCTTAACAAGTACGTGAAGAAAACAGTGTTTTGAGATGTATCAAAAACATGTACGACACTTTGGAGTAGTGCAACAAGGTCACAAGGGTGCTAACCCAGAGAGATTCTTTGAGGTGAGGTGGTTTCAGCTGGTGCTTTGTTGAAATCCATCTGCTACTTCCATCTGCTCTGTTTAAAACCTGCATTGTTTAGATGGCCATAAATTCATTTAACCAATAGCCCTTTTGCCCCCTGCATTTGCCCCCCTCCCCAAGCAGAAGGTGTGGAATCTCACGTCTCGTGGAGCGCCAGTGACGAAGTCACGACCCATAGGCGTGGAAAGTTACGACCCATGTCCCCTCCCCCATCCCGTCTCTTCCCCTTCCATCCCCTCCTATCTTCCCTCGTTCCTCTCCCCGAGCAGAAGGTGTGGAATCTCACCTTGACAGTGGGGCACCAGTGACAGGCATCGTGGGAAGTTACGACCCATGCCCCCCGCCCCCCTCCTCCGACCCGTCTCTTCCCCTTCCCTTCCCTCCTATCTTCCCTCGTTCCTCTCCCCAAGAGCAGAAGGTGTGGAATCTAACGTCTAGTGGGGCGCCAGTGACAGGCATAGGCGTGGAGGCGCATTACAGTGGAGAGCCGCAGCTGGTGAGTTGAGAGGGTGTGGGTGGGATGGGAGAGGAGTGGAGTGAGAGTAGGGTAAGAGTGAAGCGAGCGAGTGGGAGGGGTAAAGGCTTGTGGCACACTGCAGTCACGGGCATTGGCGTAGAGGCTCATTACAGCGGGGATACGCAGCTGGTGAGTTGATATGCTGGGGGAGTGGAGTGAGTGCAGTGGAGTGGAGGTGCGTGCATTGCGCTGTGAGTGGAGAGGTGCAGGTCTGTCAACACACAGTCACGGGCATTACAGTGTGGAGGTGCATTACAGCAAGGAACGGCAGCTGATGAGTTGAGAGAGGGGGTGAGAGATTGGAGTGAGAGTGGGATTGGAAGAAATGTGTAGCGCAGTGGAGTGACAGGCATAGGCGTGGAGGCGTGTTACAGCGGGGAGGCGCACCTGGTGAGTTGATATGCTGGGGGAATGGAATGAGTGCGGTGGAGTGGAGGTGCGTGCATTGCGCTGGAGTGGAGAGGTTCAGGTCTGGCAACACACAGTCACAGGCATACGCAAGGCGATTTTTGAGTCGACTCAGAATCGACTCATCACACGCGGAGAGGTGCAGGTCTGTCAACACACAGTCACAGCTGGTGAGTTGATATGCTGGGGAAATGGAGTGAGTGCAGTGGTGTGGAGGTGCGTGCATTGCACTGTGAGTGGAGAGGTGCATTTCTATCAACACACACACACTGACAGGCATTACAACGTGGAGGCGCATTACAGCGGGGAGCCGCAGCTGGTGAGTTGATACGCTGGGGGATGAGAGAGCGGTAGAGAGAATGGAGTATGAGGGCGTGTCCGAAGTGAAGCGTCGAATGGATGACGCTGGATGTCGGTAAATGTCAACCCTCGGATCAAAAGTTCCAACCGTCAGGATTTGCCGACATCGGATGACGCTGGATGTCACGTTCACTTCGGACCCGCCATGAGCGGAGTTAGAGAGAGGATCTAACGAGTTGCTCCATTCCCACATTACCGGCTTGTGCTCTAGTTGGCCGCTGGCAAGAATCTCCTCCCCTTACCCGTAGCCAGTGTTCTCACCTCCTTTTTTTTCACGTTTTCTCCCTTCAGGTCCGGTTCAAGCTTGATCTGAACCGGCTTGCAGTGGCAGGAATGCCCATCTGGCTGACCTAACTGGACTTCACCCAAGTCCAAACGAACTGGCCTGGTTGTGATGCTCTCCACTTACCCTTTCCCAACATTCTTTCTGCGCTTTCCTCACAACTCGCTGTCTTCAGGTGCGGTTGAAGCACGACTTGAACCGGCTAGCAGTGGCCAGCATGCCCATATGGCTGACCGAGCTCGATTTCACCCAAGTCCAATCGGAGCAGGCATCTGGAGGTGGTGATGCGAGAGGCCTTTGCGCATCTCCCTGTGGCCAGCTAGTGCTCTGGTCGACCGGTTGTGCAACTCTCCCCGAACCTTTTCTTACCTACGTTTTTCACCCTTTGGGGCCGATTTTCTCCCTTCAGGTGCGGTTGAAGCACGATCTGAACCGGCTAGCAGTGGCAGGAATGCCCATCTGGCTGACGGAGCTCGATTTCACCCAAGTGCAATCGGAGCAGCAGAGAGCCGACTACCTCGAGGCGGTGATGCGAGAGGCGTTTGCGCATCCCTCGGTGGCTGGAATTGTGCTGTGGTCAGCTGGGAGATCAACGTGCACGTACTATAAAGACATGGATCCGGGCATGTGCAATCCGTGTGATGCTTGCTTGGCGAATGACAAGTTTGTCGACAACTTGGCAGGACAGAGGTGAGCTGAGGTGGGAAGGTGTGGAGAGGGGGGCCGAGGGGGGGCGAGTGGGGGACCTGATCACCTGGGAGGTCCACGTGTATGTACTATAAAGACATGGACCCGGGCATGTGCAATGCGTGTGATGCTTGCTTGGCGAATGACAAGTTTGTCGACAACTTAGCGGGCCAGAGGTGAGCGCAGAGAGGAGGGGGTAGAGGCAAGAAGGGCATTAGGGTCATTGTGCTGTGTCGGCTGGGAGATCAATGTGCACGTACTATAAAGACATGGACCCGGGCATGTGCAAACCGTGTGATGCTTGCTTGGCGAATGACAAGTTTGTCGACAACCTGGCTGGACAGAGGTGAGGTGCAGGTGTTAAGGTGTGGAGAGGGGGAGCGAGGGGGAAGGGCGTGAGGGTGGACATGAATCCGGCCATGTGCAGTGAGTGCGATGCATGCTTGGCGGGTGCCAGATTCGTGGATAACCTGGCTGGGCAGAGGTGGGGTGTAGGTGTAAGGGGGGGTGGGAGAGAGAGTGTGGGGTATGGTGACTAAGAAGTATGTGGTTACTTGCATTCCTGCGCAGACCCTCATTTCATCGCTCTTTCACCCATGTTTCCACCCTCTTTACCTTACCAACCTCATACCCCAGGTATGTGCGCTTGCGGAAGGAGTGGAGCACACACCTTGTAAAACAGGTCACTTTTGGAAGCCCGATCAAGTTTAGAGGGTTTCATGGCAAGTATCGCGCGCGCATCACGGTTAATGGGAAGCTAATAGAGAGGTACTTCTATGTTCCCAAACAAACAGTTGGGCTCAATGTGGATATTAAGATATAAACTATACTAGGCAGGGGACTAATGTGGTGACTTCCTCGGTTGCCAAACGTTTGCCACTGTGTAGACAAATGATTTTTGTTTGTGTGTACAGAGTCATAGTAAAAGCCCAAGGGGATGGAACAGTGCATCCCTTTTTAAAAGGCTTTAGTTCACAGCAAATGAACATTATCAAGGACAAAAATGTACAGTGCGCTGTACAGAAATTGTACACGCCGCAGCTATTGCCCCTACTTCCGCCCCTCTTCCACGTTCCGAGCTCCTCCTCGCCTTTCACCTCCATATCACAGCTCCACACGAAGCGCGTCGCCAGGCGAAGGATGCGCCACGCGCTCCCTGATCCTCTCCTTCTTCCCTTCTCCCTTCACTCCCTTCATCCCCATTTTCTCAAACAAGTCCCCAAACTGCGTCTGAATCTGCTCGAACCCTTTCTTCGCCTCTTCGTACCTCCTCCACGCTTCCTCCTTCAAAGCTTCGGCCTGATCACCGCTCTTCGTTTTCGCGGTTTCGGTCGCGTCGTTCGCCGCTTTCCACAGCTCATGCATGGAAGCTTCCGCGCGGTTGTACATGTCGCGCAGCACATCTTCCCCCTCTTCTGCTCCGCCAGGCCTCCGCAGCTCCCCCACCTCCCCCGTCGCGAAGCTCAGCGCCTCTTTCGCCGCCTCGTAACGCGAGCAGGCGGCTTCCGCCAGCTGCTTCAGCCAATCCGCGCTCTTCCCTGAGCCTTTCTCCGCCGCTTCCTGCGCCTTCCGCGCAGCCTCTTCCGCCTCCGACTTCCGCTGCGCCACCAGCCCCTGCGACCAGTCCATGAGATACTTTCCCGCGCGCTGGAAATCCGCGGGGCCCGGAATTGCCGCCGCAGCGCCAGACGCGGCGCCAGACACGGTATCATACGCCTTGGATCCCGCGCCAGAAACGCCTTCTCCTACGCGGGCCGCTGCGCGAGCCGCGGTGTCGTATGCGCCTTTCCCCGCGCTATATGCGCCTTCGCCCGCCTGCTTCACGGTCCCCGCAGCAAACTCCCCCGCTTGGCCCACGGTAGCAGCAGTTCCTTTTGCCGCTTGGTTTGCCGCCTCGCCGATCCGCGACGCGGTATCGCGCACGCCGCCAACCACCCCGCCGACCGCCGAACCGGCCGCACCGGCCGCGCGTCCTGCGCCCTCTTCCGCAGCCTCGCGTCCCGCCTCCACCGTCGACGCCACGTCAGCGGCGCGTTCCCCCGCCCGTCGCGTGAGGCCTTCAGCAGTTTCCTCCGCGGATGTCGCGCCGGCCTTTGCGCGCTCACCCGCCTCTGCGCCGGCGGAAGCGGCAGTGTCGCGCGTTTGCCCCACGATGTCCCATCCCACGCCCATGCCCTGCCCCGCAGCGTGCTGAAGCCGGTCCGCCACTGAGCGCATGCGGTCGTACACGCCCCAGCCCGCCTTCCCCGCCTCTTCCGCCGCCCGCTGCCCGCCCGCCTTCGTCCCCTCGAGCGTCTCCCCCGCGCCCTCCGCCATGGCGTCCGCGTATTCCTCCGCGCGCTGCTGTGCTTGCGCGCCCGTCTCTCCCAAACGCTCTCCAAGCTGCGCGCCAGTCTCCCCCGCGCGTCGCTGTGCTTCCGCGCCGGCCTCCCCCACCTGCTCCGCCCCCGCGCGGCCAGCGGAAGCGGCCCCTGTGGCTGCCTCCTTGAGCTTCTCCCACGCGCTTGAAACGGCGCCAGATGCAGCGTTAGCTCCGCCTTTAGCAGCGTCAGATGCGGCGCTTGCTCCGGCTTCTGCTTGCTTCTTAGCCGCGTCTCCGCCCTTAGCGGCGGACTGGCCAGCCTTGGCCGCCGATTCGCCTGCCGCGTCTGCGGCCTCTGACCATTTCTCCTCCGCCTGGGCTTCAGATGAGGATCTGTACAAGAAGACACGCATCATGAGGTGCCACAACATGGAGTGGAAAGAGGAAAAAAAAAAACACAGGAGCACGAGGGAGGCAAATAATCATAGGACAAGCCGACTTACCTCTTTCCCATGCCTGTCACGCCCGACACCCAATCTGTCCAACTCCCCTCGTTCTCCTCCTCACTCCCCTCCTTAGTCGTTCCAACGAGGTGCGACACGCCTTCGGCCACGGTTCGCGGCTCTGGCTCATCCGGATTGGCTGACTGCGAGAGGGGCGGCTCGTCAACGGGAACACCGCCTACAGGGTCTGTGGCTTTGGATGATACGCCGAAGACTGAGAAGGCGTGCGTGGCGCGAGCGACGTGCAGCGCCAGCAGGAAAACCACGAGGAAACGTAGGAAGGCCATCGCAAGAACGACACGAAGCGAGATTGTGCTTCTAGACCAAAATGACCAGAAACAAATGCAATTGCCACTGCCAACCGGCTTGTGAGGAAAATTAAAGACAGGATCGCCAGAAGAAATGCGATAAAAGAAGACTAGTGGTGCCGCGATTGGAATGGCAGCGATCGTGCCATACACCAATTCGCTGAGTAAGATGCGAGTAGAGAATCCGGAAATGCGGCTCCGCTTCATGGTGCACACGTGGCAAGGAGCGAGGGGTGTTTTCTCGCTGTAGCATTTCACATGCATTCGGGCCATGAAAATGCGGCGTGCGAGTGCAAACGTGGGAAATGAAAAATTGCACTTTATGCGAACATAAGTTTCCCAAATTCGTAGCCTAAGAAATAACCTAGATAAGGACACCATCACCTAACCTGCTTTCAGCTGGTCATATGTATCTACACATATAAGGAATAAATCAATTACAGTTCCAACCAAAGTCACAGAAAATGCCACACTGTATCAGTTACCAAGAGACGTATCAGTCAACTGAGCTGAAGCAACTCATCCTACACTTTTGGACACTGGAAATATAAATCCACGGCTGGTGCATAAGGTTGTCTCCCTTTTGCTCTTCTCTCCTCCACTCCACCTCCTGAGCAGTTGCCTAACCTGAGTCTGATTGCTGTTCGTTCGGCTTTTCAAGCCTGAACGGATAAGGAAGAAGCCACTGTCAAGTCCACAACGCTTGCCTTGGTTATCACGCTGCCGTGACACCTGCATTATTGGGTTGGCTTGTGATAGTGACTGAAAAGAAGGTGCTTGTAGGTCGAAGCTGTCTACAATAGTGCTGGTAGTACAGTAGCTGCTTCCGCTGCCACTGCTGCTGCTGCTGCTGCTGCTGTAGAAATCCCTATCTCCATCTCCATCCTCGTTACTGCTGTCCCCGTTACTGCTGCTGCAATCCTGCACCTCAATGCTGTTTTCATTTGCTCTTGTAGTCAAAACATCATTACAGTCCTGGACACTGCTCAGGCGGCCAATCAGGGTGACTGGACAGGGAGCATTTTCGGAGCAGAACGACGCGACGCGCCGCATGCGCGAATCGGCGGATGAGAAGGCACTCGCAGCCGCGGCGGAAGCGGAGGAAGCGGGGAGCGAGGGGAGGAAGGGGAGGATCGCGGAGCAGTTGTGCGCGGGGAGAAGGAGGAGGTCGGCATCGAGAGAGTGACAGCAGTCGACGAGGGAACGCGCGAAGGAGAGAGCGTGGCCAGCGGACGGTAGGCGAACTGCCTCGAAACGAACCATCTCTTTTGATCCAATGGCGGCGAGTTTCAGAAGCGCTGATCGCGATTTTTTATCCCAGTCGCTGAAATGTTCGTCGAGCGGTAAACCGGGGACGATAACGGTGTTTTTAACGACGGCTGTCGCCTTCCCGCTTGGTGCACTCGTCGGTTGTCGCAGTAAGTCGCCCATGTCGCTGGAGCGGCGCTTGCTTGAGCTACTTTGCGACGAAGACGTAACGTCGCCAATCGACGTCATCGACGACGAGCGCGTGTGGCGGCTGGAGCCAGCGGCGATCGCTGCGACGATTCGGTCGTCCGGTTGCTGGCCATCGCGCAGCCACTGCGCGAAGGCGTTGCGACATTCGCGACAGCCGTCCAGTCCGATGACGACAGTTCGTCCTTCGCCAACACTGTAGATCGGATTTAGGGGCGTGGACACAGCCAGTTTCCGCAAAGTTCGCAAAGCGCTGCGAGCCATCTGCGGCGTTTCGACACCACTAGCGACTCGGAGGTCACTTGAACGTTACGACAGGTTTCCGTAGAAAAGTCTGCCTCGAACCTTCAACTTCAACTGACGCACTTCGCCAAAGTCACAGAATTTACTGACGAGGGTCGAAGCACTCGGTCGACTATTAGTAGAAGCCGTGCGGTTTCCGACGGCGTCCTAGAGCTTGCATGTACAATATACAGACGACGCTATACTCTGTTTTTCAGTGGCACGAGAACGATCGTCAGGAATGAATGTTTCTTCCAAGTCCGGCCTAAAATACGGGGACGAGGTTAGCCCTGATATTACCGACAGTCGTCCTCACTACACGACGCGACGACTCCGATCGCGTGGAGTGGAACGAACGGAATGATGACACCAGCCACCACAGCACTCGAGGAGGCGAGTTGAGGAAGGGCGGCTGTAACTTGTAACTCCCGTTTCCCAGTCTCGTCTTCATTACACCGTATTACATGGTAGTACAACTTACAAGACATCGTGGATGCACTGTTAACCGGAAGAACGTACGCCCGTCTCGGCCTTATCGCTGACTCGAATCAGGCCGCTGGGTCGCCTTGCCTCATGCCTGGTTACTAAACGACACTTGTGTGCATTAGTAGCGCTACATATGTTTGTCATCTGACAGCTGTATGCGACGTGGTTATCATCGTTACTTACGTCCCGTCCTCCTCTCCCCCGCGGCCTCCGCTCCCCGTCGTCTCCTTGTCCTGTCTTATACGTCACTGTATCTTGTACTACAGTATAGGTGTACCCCGTCACACTTGGACACGGCAGGTCGGTACGATTTTGTACATTTCACCGGCCCGTGGCTCCCCTCCCCCACTCCTTGTTCCCTTGTGCGTTCGGTGTTCCCTCCTTCCTCCCGGCGCTTTTCCTGTCAGCTTCTCTCCGCAGCCGCTTCTGCTCGCTCGAACTTCTACGCCCCACACAGACAGGGCTCGACGAGCGGGTGCGGGAACGCAGTTGACTGGATGGGCAGACAGGACCTGTGAATTGAGCAGACATTCATCTGTTTCACCCCCTCCCCCATTCCCCAAACTCAGGCCTCCGAATTCCCTACAAACAAGACATGGCTCTCTCCCCCCATCCACCCTCCTTCACAGCCTTTTCTGCGGAAAGAGCCCGTTCACCCACCACCTCCAACAAATCTTCCCCCCGAAGAAAAACCGCCAAACTCCCCACTTCCCTTCCCACTCTCCGATTGCGCAACGGGATGCCCGCGCCAAGCTCGGCGACGAAGGGGGAGCAAGGCACCATGCATTGATGCATCCATGTGGTTCACCATGGCGATGACACCAATATGGCGGATGACACTGCAAAGTAACCCAAAGAGTCGCTCGGATTTCGCAGCAAGTCAAAGTTTTCAGAGCATGGTGATTGTCATCGCTCCTGTAGTACCTCCAAATCAACCATTGTTAAACGTTGGAAACGGACACAAAACCCTACAGTATACGGCTGAACAAATTACAGACCGCTCTTCTAGCGCCTGGGGAGATAGGATCTGGGCACGAGGCTGGTTTGGCGCCTGCGCTGCGAGGTTGTCGCTAATTTCGCGAATTGCCGATAGACGGAGACTGGGTTGCGTACAATTACGAAGAGTGGGGCTATGCGAACTGTAACAATAACGTGCACAGAACAACAAAGGCGGAAACAACCGTCTCAGAAGGAAATGCAGCATTTTACTGTACAGCACATAACCTGACGTGTCACGTCGGTGGATGGCAGAACGACGCCCCTTATTAATGTAACAGTACACGAATGAATGCAGAAAATTTTCAGCCAGTACAATTCACACAGTGAGATAAAATTGAAGAACCCTGTACATTAATACATAATATGCGATGTATCATTTGAGGGCCTAATATACGTTTGCCCAATTTCTCTTTAACAAACCCAATATACATTCAGAACGAAATCAAAAGGGAATTCGCCGACGTTTCTTAGGGGGCCCTTTCTTCATCATGATGCCCACTAACTCGGCCAAATAGCTGTCTTCTGTCCACCAATCAGGCTCCTTTCCTGGAAGCACCTCTTGCGAGCACAATGTGAAGTTGGCACGTAGGAGTCCCTACATGACAAAGGCCGATAAAGAGCAGACATGGGAGACAGGAGGGGCAAGAACAGTAAGGGGGTGATAAGAGGATGAGAAAATTGTATGCATACACGCACAAAATATAAAGTGGTGCAGCAGGGGTGCTGAAACTGCAAGTATTTGACTTAAAACACAATGGAGGCCAAATTACTACTGCATGGATGCAGAACAGGTTTAGCGGGGGAGCAGAGAAGACCAGTTGTTAAATCATTCATAAGGGCAAAAATAAAAGAAGTACAAGCAAGCAAACAAACGAAAACAACGACGAGTAGAGCTGACCTGGAAGTGGTTGAGGTAGGCAACATCGGGGGTCAAATGAACACCACCCTCCAGTGGCTCTATGGGGCGATGCACCTGCAGGGAAGGCGGATAGGAGACTAGGGAAGAACGTGTGGAGTGAACGCGTGGGCATGAATGCGCCGGGAGTAGGTATGGGTGAAACACATGCGGCTCCTTAAAACACTCACCGCCCTCCAGTGGCTCTATGGGGCGATGCACCTGCAGGGAGGGCACATGGGCGACAAGGGGAGGCGGATGGGGGGCATGAGAATCACTTGCGGATCTTCAAATGAACGCCACTCTCGAGTGGCTCTATGGGGCGGTGCACCTGCAGGGAGGGCGGATAGGAGACAAGGGGAGAACGTGTGGAGTGAACACGCGGCCGTGAATGCGTGGGGAGTGGGTTATGGGAGAAACGTTTTACGGTATACGGCTCCTGGGAACACTCACCGCCCTCCAGTGGCTCTACGGGGCGATGCACCTGCAGGGGGCGCAAATGGGGGCATGTGGAGAAAGCGTGGGGTGAACGCATGGGGATTATGCATGGATGGATGACACATTTCAAGCGGGGGCTCCTTAGACCACTCATCGTCCTCCAGTCGGTTCGGAGACCACGGGCGATGAGTGGAGGGCGATGAGTGGAGGTGTCTCACCTGCACCAGTCTCACCTGCACGGCCCACACTTGGCGTGGGTCAACCAGAAACTTGCGATGGCCGTAGAAGTTGAGGCAGTGGTTTGGAGTATACCCCATGTCCTTCTCTCCCACACAGTACACATGCGGCCAATGAAACCGCATCCGCTGAATCGGCAGCGAGAGAGCGGGCGTGGGCGGTCGACAATACTCCACAGACCACCACACACTCCCGAACGTGATAAAAGCCGACCCGTTATGCTGCATAAGGAGGTTCTGCAGGGACCCTCCGGCTACATCCACCGGTTTCGGCTTGGCGTGCCTTCTTCGTCTTTTTCTCCGCTTGTGGCCGTCCGGAGTGTACTCGCCGTCTCCGTCTGTTTCTGGCTCGGGTGGCGGCGGGGGGGGTGGCGGCGCGATGTACAGTAGCTCGTCAAAGTCCATGAACAGTACCCAGCGGGCGCCGGAGCGGAGACGGTACATGCAGTCGTTTAGGGTTAGCACGTTCTGTTTGTTCTCGAACGCGTATGCGCCGCGAACGTCGACTATTTCCATTATGTTAGCATCCACAAGCGGGGATAGGACCTGGGGGGAGTTGGAAGTCGGGGGGATGGAATTGGATTGGAGGGGAGGGAGAGCAATAGGAGAGGGGTTATGATGGGCACAGAAGGTTTAAAGTGAAAAGATGCAGGCATGTAGGGTAGCACTTTCTGCTTGTTCTCGAACGCGAATGGGCCGCGAATGTCGATGGTTTCCATAATCTTGACATCTACAATCGGAGATAGAACCTGGGGAGGGGACGGAAGGAGAAAATAGGCAAGGGAACTGAGTGGGTTTGGACCGAAGAAAGGAGGATAACACTAGTTGAACAAAATGAAAAATCTACTCTAGGCCATAAATCGAACAGAAAATAAAGGCCTTGAATCAAATGAAGACTCAAGCCCTACTCAGCCCACCTTTGATCTTCAGATGACAGAAACTTAATGGTGGGATCTCAACACAACCACCTCACATTTCTTTTAATCCATAAGAATCTTCTAACGGTCACCCTCATAAAAATATCGTCCGGAGAACCAATTCTTTTAGTTGACTCAAAAAGCGCGCTCACCTTCATAATAGTGTCGTCCACAAAACCAACTCTTTTTTTAGTGAACCGATTCTTCTCACACTCAAAAAACGCTCTCACCTTCATAATAGTGTCGTCCACAGAACCCCCATCGCTGAGCACAAAATAGTCGACCTTGAGGTAATGATAGGCCACCTGAGGGGTGTAGTGTAGGGATGGGGGTGACCGGAGGGGTTGTTTGGTGGCTTGTGAGTCGAACAAACTTTTGAGGTGATTCAAGGGCCCCCTTATTACTCAGACCATATTACAGAATGCACCTGCAGCCACACATCTAGTGTGGAGTGGAGGGGTTAAGGTCACGGTACATGGGGAAGGAGCAGAAGGCCAACTCGTACTCAAGCTGGCACCCCCTCCCTCTCCTCCCCCCTCTCTCTCTCTCCTGCCCATGCCCATGCCCCACCCACACCCACACACCTGCAGCCACACGTGCAGAGTGAAAGGATTGAGATCGCGGTACATGGGGAAGGAGCAGAACGCCAGCTCGTACTCAAACTGCCGGCCCCCTTTCTGCCTCAGTACTCCTTTCAACCCTTCTCTCCAAAGACCCCTATTCTCCCACAACCCCCACCCCACGCACCTGCAGCCACACATGTAGAGTGGAGGGGTTGAGGTCACGGTACATGGGGAAGGAGCAGAACGCCAGATCGTACTCAAACCGCCGAAACCCCTCCGCTTCCCTTCCCCCCCCTCTCCTTCCTATTTCCCACCACTCCTCTCCTGCTCATCCCCATGCTCAACCCACACATACATACCAGCAGCCACACTTGCAGCGTGGAGGGGTTGAGGTCGCGGTACATGGGGAAGGAGCAGAAGGCCAGCTCGTACTCAAACGGCTGCTCCCCCTTGCCGCCCCAATGCTGCAAGCTGTAGCCTTGTCTGTTGTGCGACTGGGTGGCGTTGCTTGGACTGGAGTGCGCGAGAGGCGAGTGTGCCTGGGCGGGTGTATGAGCTGGTATGCCCGTGTGTGTGGCGGGGTGTGATAGCGAGTGGGAATGTGTGGGGAGGAGAGAGGAGAGAGCCGATGCTGGTGCGGGTGGCTCGCTGTAGATAGCTACATCTGTGCGATCTGTAGGAAGAGGGGGGGGGGAAGATGGGTTGAAGGGGGCGGGCGGGGTAAGGGGAGAGAGACAGGTGAAATTGGTTATATCGTTGCGGATGCTGGTGCTGGTGGTTCGCTGTAGATGGGTACATCTGTGCGATCTGCAAGGGGAGGGGAGGGTGGGGGGATGGAGGAGGGAGGTCAGAGGGGAAAGAGGGAGGGAGAATTGGAGTTTACTGTTAACTTGAAGTGCTTTGCAAGGAGGGCGGATGCTGGTGCTTGTGGTTCGCTTTCAATGGAAACATCAGTGCAGTCTGATCAGAGAGTGGGGTGGGGAGGAGGTGTGGGAGGAACAGAAAGAGACAGAAAGCTAACTGTATTCTTGCAGGGTAGACCAGTTAAACAAAGGGGAAAGGACGTTTGAAAGAATGGAATAAGATACCATTTGAAGATGGAGTATGATATGAAGGTGCATACGGAAAGAATAAAAGAAAGGTGGACGGCATAAATCAAGGTTTAATAACACGGATACGCTGGGAATATCGCAGTCCATCAAGCTGCAGGGTAGTTTTGAGAATTCTCAAAAATACAGTTGTGAGGCGCCTCAAAACTAAATAGTCTGCAGTGCTCTGGGAATATCACAGTCCACCATCAACGCACGTACCTAGTTGAATCATGACTGTGCCGCCGCCATTCCCCGTGCTTTCCGCTGCAAGTTTGCAGTGGTAAATTGCCGTCTCGTACATCAATAAATGGTGCTCTCCAGGGTAAATTCCCCTCAGCCTGCCCGTCAAATGCTGCCCGTCCTGCCCGACCCAGTAGCAGTGGCCCAGCTGACGTGGACCGATGGGAATGCAGGGAAATGTGGGGGAAGAGGGACAAGGGAGGGGCAAAATGAGATGAGAATGGAACGGATATGAGTCAGTCATTCTTCTCCCTCTCACTCACTCACTCTCCTACTCACTCACTCTCCTACTCACTCACTCTCCTACTCGCCCATTCTCCTCTCACTCATCCGCTCTCCTTCCCCTCCCTTTTCCCATGACCCACTCACCCCATCATCTCATCAGCACGTTCTCTCATAACACAAAGGCTCATCCCGGTGACTTTTGAGTCGACTCAAAAGTCACCTCACACACAGGCTCATCCCGGCTGTTTTGAATTCTTTGACTGACACCCAATACCCTCTTCATGCTCTCTCCGTTGCATCAATCGCTCACTCATCATTCCCGTCCCTCCCCTCACCCCATCGTCAGCAATCTCCCTCATCTCATCGCACGAAGGCTCATCTCAGATCACCTGTATTCATGATTCATTGACCAGTACCCGCCAGCCAGTACCTGCTTCATGTCAAATCCGCGTGATAGTAATCTAGTTTTGAGACGTCTCAAGCCAGCCAGATTACTACCACTGCCCAGCCAGTACCCGTTTCATGCTCTCTGTTGCATCAATCAATCTATCGTTCCCCTCCCACCCACGCACCCCTTTCCAAACACCTACCCCTCGCACTCACCCCTTCCCTCTCACTCACCCCATCATCAGCAATCTCCCTCATAACACGTAGGCTCATCCCAATCGCTGCGAATTCATTGGCCGACAGCCGGTACCCGCTGCGCTGGACGAATCGTGGCTGCCCGAGCGCGGCAAGCGCGCCAGGTGGCGCCTCCTGATAGGCCCTCTGCAGCAGCGAGTGACGTGTCAAGCAGGGGTTGGTGATGGAGTTGTTGTGGTCAATGTTGGCCCCTTCCACGTCAGCATCTGAATGGGATTCGAGGTGATGGAGGGCCGATTAAGAAATCTCAGGACTCAAAAAGATTAGTCCCTGAAATGCTAGAACACATTCAAACGCCACAACGCGTTTCCTTCCCTCTTCCCCTCCCCCTCCCAAACCGCTTCCGCTCCCCCTCCCCTCTCCCTCTTACCTGTGTGCAATAAAGTTCGCGCTCTGCTAATATCCATCTTAAAGCCCTCCATCACTGACCACTTTCTCCATGCTTTAACGCACTCCTTTTCCCTTCTTCCTCCCCCTCCCCCTCTTCTCCCTCCCCATCTTACCTGTGCGCAATCTAGTCTGCGCTATGCTAAGATCCACATTAAAGCCCGTTGTTACGGCCCAATTTCCCCCTTGCCCCTCCCCTTCCCCTACCCCTTCCCCCCTCCCCATTTACCTGTCTTTAGTCTAGTCCGCGCTGTACTAAGGTCCATCTTAAAGCCCTTCGCCACGGCCCCCGCAATCACCGCCGACTCAACCTCGCTGCTCCACCGCACTCCCCGCAAATCCCCCCCCGCTCCCGCGCCCGCGCCCGCGCCCCAAGCGCCCCCCGCGCGCTCCTCCTCCGCGCCTCCCCACACCTCCGCTTCGACCGTGCGCCAGTTCCCCGGACTGCGCCCGCTCATTATAAGCACGAACACTACAGCGGGGATGAAGATGAGCAGCAGCAGGCGCCACGTCGAACACCATTGCCGAGTCGCGCGGCCCTTAGACGACACTAATTTCGGCGGCGGCGCCATGGGACCGCCATTCGCGCCCCGGCCGTACCCCGCGCCGCGGCGATACGGCGGCTCGTCTGACATGTAACCGTGTAATGGCCCGTCCGATCCGTACCCATCTTCCCCGCCGCGCGCAGCGCGCACGTACGGCGGAGGGCCCGCGCCAGCGGAAGGCGGGTAGCTAGGCACGTAATATCCGGCGCCAGATGCGGGGGGAGGACCGTTGGCATAGGGCGGGAACGGAGGCGGTCCGTGCGGATGCGAGCCGGGATGAGAATAAGGCGCGGCTGGGTAAGGCGCGGGTGGTAGCTGCTGCGGGGGATACGGCGGACCTTGCGGAAAAGGCGGGCCTTGTGGATAAGGCGGGGCTTGGGGATAGGGGGGATTAGGGTACGGTGGCTGGCCCGTGTGGTGCGGAGAAGGGTGCTGACGTGGCAGTGCGTGTTGGTGGAGAGACGGGTGCTGCGAGAGGTCTGGCTGGGAAAGAGGCCGCGACGGCGGGTTGCTCGGGCGGGACTGCCGCGCGGCGGCGCCGCTGTTGCTGGCGCCCGTGCTGCTGCTAATGCTCGTTTTGCGCTTTGGCGGCGACATGACTGTTGCACAACCACAACTGGGACTGGAATGTGCTTTTAGTAAGAATTTTTACAAAAAAGGTATTATTGATTACCTTAACATGTCGATGCAGTAAAGCGGTCAGTATCTCCGACTGTCACGCGGAAGATCCGGGTTCGATCCCTGGCATTGGCGTTTTGCCCCCTGCCTCCTATTCCCACCTCTTTCCACCCGCGTCTGTTGCTTCTCATATTCCTCCAGACACCTCTTTTCTGCATACAGTAGGCTCTTCTCAGGGTTGTTGCAAACAGCCACGAAACTAAGACATGAAATCACTCAGACATGTAATCATGCACTGGCAACCTTGCACCCATTCAAGCAGACACAACTTGATGAGCCGGACATGGCAATGGCAAAGAAGTAAGTCGTTGCTCGTAAAAGCAAGGGCCGCCATGGTAATGCACGCATTGCGCACCCCATTGCTATTGCGTCTGTGATGAGCCGTTCGTAATTTGAATCATGTTTCAGGTTATAGCATAAGATATGCCAATACAGCCCTACATGTAGCTAGTTGCTACATTCCCTAGGTTATTCTGCTACAACTAATGATGCCTTTAGGCATCTTGACTAGCCTGTCTCCCATCACCAGCACCATGCATCTTGGTGGTAGAAACACCACACCCGTCTAAGCCACAGAGAGTCTAAAACTCTTCCTTCTAACACCATCAGCAGCAGATTCAGCAGCAGCATCAGCAGCAGCAGCAGCAGCAGCACCAGCGGCAGCACCAGCGGCAGCTCACAGCTGGATGCTAATCTCTGCCACGCCTTGTGCATTCGGCACGTGGAATGTTTTTTCGACGGTCTGCCCGTTGACCTGGAAGCGGGCGCGGTAGGTGCCGTGGAAGCCCTTGAATGCGAGCGGCTGCCCGGGAGAGATTTTGGCGTTGAGGTGCGTGCTCCACTCCTTGCGCAATCTCACATACCTGCGGGAGTGAGAAGAGGGTAATAGGAAGAAGAGGAATGAGAGGAGATTAGAATGTATGCCGAGGCTGCTCAAAACTTGACCTTGGTGATAGAAGGAAATGGGTGAGGAGAGTGTGCATGTCAGAACAAGAATGCGGGTAATTGAAGTTTTAGAGCTTCTGGTGCTGACCTCTTCCCTAGCTCGTGACTTTTGAGTCGAGGGAGGGGGAGAGGGAGAGAGGGAGAGAGGGAGAGAGGGAGAGAGGGAGAGAGGGAGAGAGGGAGAGAGGGAGAGAGGGGGAGAGTGAGAGAGCGAGAGAGAGGGAGAGGGATTCGTACCTCTTCCCCAGCTCGTTGTCAACAAAGTTGGTATCCGAGAAGCACGCCTCGCACGGCTTGCACATGCCGGGATCCACGTCCTTGTACTTGTCGCACGTGGCGCGGCCCGCGGACCAGTTCACGATGCCGTGCACGGCGGGGTGCGCGAACGCCTCGCGCATCACCGACTCGAAGTAGTCCGCGCGGATCGCGTCGTCCGGCACCTTGTTGAAGTCCAGCTCCGTCAGCCAGATGGGGATGCCCGCCACTGCCAGCTGGTTGAGATCGTGGCGGAGACGGGCCTGCGGGGAAGCAGAGGGAGTAAGGGAACGGGGAAGCGAGGGCGGGGACCTTGTTGAAATCGAGCTCCGACAGCCAGATGGCGGAGACACACAGGGAAGCGGGGATTGGGTGCCAACTGGCTGACGTTCCACTTGCTCAATTAGTTCTCTCTCCACAAAGTCGAGTCCTGGATTTTCAAGAATATAATAACTCACCGGCTGAGGTTCCTTGCTGTAGTGCGACTCGACGCCGATCCCGGTCACCGGTGAGCCACGTGTCGTCATCTGCCAGACTTTTGCGAGATAATACTCGGGATGCGACACGCCGTCGCACTCCTCTACAGTATTGTAGTCGTTAATAAACAGCTGCGCCTGGTTGTCGATTGCTGACGTGGCCTTGTACATCCAGTCGTGCACCTGCGGACCGAGGCGGTCCGCAAAATAGTTGCCGTGAAGCGGCTCGTTGAGAACGTCCCAGTGCTGCACCTGCCCCTTGTAACGGGTTACCGCATGGTTCAGTCTTCGCTGCATCGCCGCCCACAGATCCTCGTCGTTGAGGTTCTGGAGGGCGGAACCGGGGGGAAAAGGGGGAGGGGACGGGGAGGGGGAGCCAGCAGGGGGACGAATAGAGTGTGACGAGGGAGGGGGAAGGGGAAGGATTGAGGAAAGGGGACAGGGTTGCGAACTTCAGGCGGAACGGGGTGGGGAAGGACGGGAAGGAGTCGGACGCGGGGGAAGTCGAATGTTTGGAGCGGGTGGAGAAGGGGGAACGGGAGTGACGGAGAGTGAGTGATGGGTAGAGATGGTGGGGGGGGGGGGGGGGGGGGGGGGTACGGGGAAGGAGAGAAGGGGAAGAGACAGGAAGCCGGGCCTCATCACTGTTGTAAAGCGTACAAAGTGTAGCAATGCTCACCTTGACCCACGGCTGCACGAAATTCTCGACTGCCCAGAACAGGTTGTGCGCGCGAACGTTGATGTTTCGCGAGCGGAACCAGTTGACCATCGCATCCGTTATAGTGTAATTCTCTACACCCTCCTGGTACCCCTCGTTAAAGTACCACTTCATCTCGTTATTGAACACAGCCCAGTTGAAACGATCTTTAAACCACTGTACGGAAGGGAAAGAAAAGAAGACGAAGAGTGAAGGGAGAGGGTGAGTTGTGGTTTTGGCAACTGTTCGCAACGAAGGAAGACAAGCATCACGAAGCTCATGCGTTACGTTGTACTAATGTCGACTACTTGTGAGAGACCATTCGATTTTCTGTTTCTTTATACAACCGGCGGTCGCCACACAACTTTCCACATCCCTTATCCGTCCCACTTCGCATACCTTCTGGTAGTTCACGTCGTAGAGGATCGCGCCGTTAACGTTCCCGCCAAACGGAAAATCCGACTGAATCTGGTTAATCACCACGTCCACAGGCTGCCCGTTATTGCCGGTAACCGTCAACGACACGTCGCGCATGCGATGCTTCTCGATGCTCGCCTGCTGCTGCGCCAGCCATTCGTCCTTATCAACCTTCCGCAACGAAGCCTGCGCGATCCAGATCTCGGTCCCCGGGGTTGCGCCTTGGATATAAATACTGGCTTTATCCAGCGGGTCGTGTAATGTGAATCCGCCCATGAGTTTCGTCCAGCAGTTAGACTTGGCGATCGCGCCGCCGATGCACACGTACTGGCCGTTAATATTGACGTTCGCGTTCACGTACTGCCGTTCGCCGGCGTTCAGCCGGACCCAGACGATCATCTCGTACGACGCGGCCGGCAGGTTGGAGACGCTTTGCATCGGTCCGGAGTAGGCTTCGGAGCGATTTGTGCAAACGCCGTAGTTCAAGCGGGTGTCTGTTACCGTGTATACAGATGACCAGCCGAAACCCTGCCACGGGCTGATGCCATCTGAAAATTCGCCGTTCTGGAAGAGGTTGTTAGGGAGCACTTGCTTCGATGGGAGGGCAGAGCACTGCGGGACGCAAGGGGAGGGAAAACCACCAAAAGAATCAGAGCGCGGGTGAGAAGCTCCGTTTCCAAACCCGAACGGCCGTGGCAAAAGACATCGAAACGACTTTCAAAACATCTGGCTTGTTCAAAAAGACTTTTGTCACTTACGAAGACGACTTCAAAGAGGTTCTCCATGGCCTTCCTTCCTCTGATCTTGTCGCCATCGCCTCCTTGCTTCAGGTAGTCGAGCGATAGGAGCCCGTCAGGCTGCCGATACTTGGCCCACTCGTGCTCGTACTTGGATGTTGGTAACCCGAAATATTCTTCTGCGCCAGCCAGAATGGCCGATGCGGAAACTAAAAGCAATAGCGCAGAGAGCGCCGACAGCCGAACTGGACCCATTTCAAGTGCAGAATGGAGAGGCTCGCAGGTGCGAAAGCGGCACGAAGGAGGAGAGGGTGATGGACTGGTATAGGCAAACCAGAGATGGAAGGAGTCAAGGCGCGGGCCAACAGGAGTTCCCACTATGGGGGGACTAGATGCTGTTGGAAAGGGCTTCAAACATTTCGATTGATTTTCGGCTGGGCGAATGTTGCGAATTTCAATGTGGGGATTGAAGGGGGACATTGAAATGTGTGGCAATGGCGGCTCGAGCATCCTTGACGAAGCGACTCGGCGAAGGGGGACGGAAACTAGCTTGCGAAGAAAAAAATCAAGAAAGGGGGCTTCGCGAGAGAATGTCGGTGATTGGTGTATGAGGTTGCGAATCGTTGAGCGAGTCGCTCAAGCTCGCATCCAACGCTTGCGGTTCGCGACGAATGACGGTTGTGGGGAAGGTAGGGGTAGGAGCAGCGACGAGTAGTTGCCGGCAACGTAGTCATCGCAGTGCGTCGCCTATTCAAAGTTGACCAAACGACGGGCGCCAAACCATTTGGCGAAATCTATGCGACAAACGTATGGAAAGGTTCAAGGAAACTAGGAGGGGAGAATTTCGTCGCATTCTTCCGAGTTTGGCGCGGCGACCACATATCAACTGACGACTGTTGATACGTCGCAACGAGCCTTTCTCCCTCGCCAGGAGGGTTTCTGACACACGGCGACTCGAAGCTTTATTTCAAGTTTTTCGCACCCACCTCAAACCCGCCAATAGAAAGTTTCGCACTCCAGTGAAATTTTCCTACATGTTGCATCCGTTTATGAACTCAAGGCAGGTTCAGCCCTCCCCAGATGATGCCTGACAATAACCAAATGGCGCGATTTTACTAGCGCCCTTGTTACTCTTGCGAAAAAATCGTTTTAGACAGGCCCATCGAAAAGTTTAGTACAGAACTTCATCTGTCTATCTCAACCATTACGGTATATTGTTTCCAGTTTCCACACAGAGCTTTTATTGTAATGTTTACATTTTAGTAGCATGTGTACATTTGGACTGCTCATCAGGTAAGTCAACACAAGTCGTCGCACTTTTTACAGAACCAGCAGTAAGTGCCAGGTCAAACTGAAATCAAAGCCACCCAGACTGCTGCAGCTCCAGCTAAAAACGTGACAATGTATGCTAGCATGACAACGGTGGTTTCCGCCATTCCCGAGAGCTCCAAGTGGTGGTGGAAGGGCGACATGCGAAATATTCTCAATCCCGTGCCTGTGGTCCGCTTGGTGAGCTTGAAGAATGAAACCTGTGATGCGACAAGGGGGGGTTGATGGGGTAGAAAGGCACAGCTGGAATCAGCCATGTGTCAAACTCGTGCCTGTGGTCCGCTTGGTGAGCTTGAAGAAGGATGAGCGGGGAAGGGCGGGCCAGGAGGAGAGGGAAGGCAGCATTGTACGTGTGAGTGGTGGAAGGGGAAGACAGGCAAGTCCAGTCGCAGCAGCAACCAGGTCTGCGTGTAGCGGAAGTAAAAACCTGCAGGGAGCACATGGAGCAGCAGGAGAAGGTTTGAAGGAAGAAAACAGCGGACGAGATGAGGAAGGGGAAAAAGAGGCCAGTGGTGGTACCTGGTATCACTTTCATGGCCGAAACTGTTTTGAGGAACAAAACAGCTGAGGCAATGAGGAGGGGGAAGAAGAGGCCACTGGTGGCAGCCATGGCAGCGAGGGCTTGCACCTGTAGCAATGGCAGCAGAGTCAGTGAGGATTACCTGTAGCATGACCGAAACAGTTTCGAGGAAGAAAACGGCCGATGCAATGAGGAGCGGGAAGAAGAGGCCGGTGGTGGCAGCCATGGCAGCGAGGGCCGCCCCGAGAGCCAGGGAGCCCGTGTCCCCCATGAACACTGCTGCCTTGTGCCGGTTGTGCGCTAGGAAGCCCATGCACGCCCCCGCCATCGCTGCTCCGAATGCTCCCATGGCTTTTTGGTGGCATGGGGAATAGGGGTTAAGAAAGGGGATGGAGAATGGGGCCGAGAGATGTGGATGGAAGGGAAGGGTCTCAGACCCCCTAGGCATGAGCAACGGGTCGACCCGAACCGAACCGACCCGACCGGACCGGACCGGACCGGACCCGACCCGACCCGACCCGACCCGACCCGACCTGACCTATCATGTAGTGCGGTCTAATCCCCGAGGTGCAAATGAGTTCCCGAGGTGCAAATGAGTTCCCGAACGGGGGACTTACCAGGGTAGATGGGAAGGCAGGCTATGGCCATGGCAATGAATGCAATGGCAGTGGTGCCGGCTGCCAGCCCATCCAAGCCATCCGTGAGGTTAACAGCATTGCTCATTGAAGCCATGCAGAACACCGTTACCGGCACATACCACCTGCATGGCGGGAGGAGTTGTAGGAGATATATAAAGGGTTGGCTTATAAAGGGTACAAACTAGTGTGAGGTTGGCAGCGTTGCTCATTGCTGCCATGCAGAAGACCGTTACCAGCACATACCACCTAGAAAGAAAGGATCTGTAGGGAAAAAAGGCAGGGTAGATTCATTGAGGTTTATAAAGGGTACAAACTTGAGCGAGGTTGACAGCGCTGCTCATTGCTGCCACGCAGAAAACCTTGAAAGGGTATATACCACCTGGACGGAGTTATAGGGAGAAAGGGTTGAGTTTACCATGCATGGTCATACCACCAAATGACACTGCTGAAACATGCAGGGTCGGAGATCTGAACAGGTATAAGACTACAATGACACTGTAGTGAGAGTTTTGAGGCACCTCAAAACTACACAGTAGTGATGTGATGCAGTTAACTAACTCTAGGAAACCAGCTTGAGGCTACGACCTGTCTCAGTTGACTTAACACAATCGCTAGCGTCGCAGTGAGTAAAAGAACCGAGACAGGTCGTAACCTCTGGGAGGGACAATGAATGAACTTTTTTTTTTGTATGGAAGCATGCCTTTTTGAGGCGCTATAAAAAATAGCCTCTGGGAAAGACAATGAATAAACAAGAATAAGCATACCTGCCAAAGTACCAGAGACTGATTGGCTGTGGAAAGGGCACTATATTCTTCCTGAAACACATGACATCCAGTCAGAAAGATGGATGGAGGGCGAATAGGGCGGTTGGGGGGATGCGGGAAAACGCATGAGAGAAAAATATGATGGGTTAGAAACGTTAGGATGGAGCAGCAGAGAACACGTGGTATGCACATATGATGGCTAGAAACGTTACATCACTCCCACTCTCTCTCACACACGCCAGGATTACAATTACTGCAAACAATGCAGAAATTCAGAGAGCCATGTAACAAAGTCACATGGTAAGGTGTCTGAATAAAGAAAAAGGCAAGCCATACATGGAATAGGGCGATTGAAGATTCGCCCCATGTAACCAGTAGCTGAGTGCCAGGCCTATTGCCACCTGGAGAGAGGAGGGGGGTTGTGAAGAACGAGCAGGAGCGGAAAAACAGCAGGTATTAGGGGAAGGAGGGATTGATGATTTGCCCCGCGTAACCAGTAGCTGAGTGCCAGGCCTATTGCCACCTGGAAGAGAGGAGGGGGCTTGTAAAGGACGAGCAGGGGCGGAGAAGCAGCAGGTATTAGGCGAAGAAGGGATTGATGATTTGCCCCGTGTAACCAGTAGCTGAGTGCCAGGCCTATTGCTACCTGGAAGAAAGGAGGGGGGCGGGAGGAGGGGAGGGGAGGGGAGGTTGTGGGAAAGAGTAAGGGTGATTGGGAGGAGTTATCATTGAAAGCCTTAGCCCCTCTCGATTTCCCACTCTCCCTCTTATCGTTGTGCTTTTTTACTTGCCGAACAAGCTTGGCGTTAGAAAGTGGGTCCAAAGTGGGTCCAAAGTGGGTCCAAAGTGGGTCCAAAGTGGGTCCAAAGTGGGTCCACAGTTGTGCTTCCTAGCCAGAGACAGCCCGTCATCCACTGTCCCCACAGCCATCATCACTGCTGTTGCCGCCATCACTCCCTCACACCACCGTCACCTGCACCTGTGTGCTCTCTTACCTGTAAGCCAAGCTTCCCCATCGGTGTGAGTCCATAGTTATGCTTCTTAACCAGAGACAGCCCATCGTCCACCGCTCCCACCGCCATCATCACCATTCCTTTGTTTCCCTAAACTGACCTGCAGCCCAAGCTTGCCCATTGGGGTAAGCCCATAGTTGTGTTTCTTAACGAGAGACAGCCCATCATCTACTGCTCCCACCACCATCATTGCCACTGTCGCCCCTGTCACTCCTGCCAGTTCCGGGGGACTCCCAGTCGCCACCCTCTCTCCCGCCTACCTGCTTGCTTCCTTACCTGCAGGCCAAGCTTCCCCATTGGGGTAAGCCCATAGTTGTGTTTCTTCACCAGAGACAGCCCATCGTCCACTGCTCCCACCGCCATCATCGCAACCGTTGCCGCCGTCACTCCAGCCAGCTCAGGCGGACTCCCAGTCGCCACCCTCGCTACAAGCACACCCAGCGGCACAAAGAACAGCCCGCCCATGGTGGGCGTGCCCGCTTTAGTCACATGCGTGGCGGGGCCCTCCTCGCGCACCACCTGCTGGGCTTTAAGCGAGCGCAGGAACGGGATGGCGATGGCGCCCGCGTATGCTGACGTGGCGGCGGCGGCGAGGAAGGGGATTGTGAGGAAGAATGCGGCGAGGGGGCGACGGATGAGGCGCCAGATGAAGGAATCGACTAGGAGGAGGGTGGAGAGCAGGCCGACGAATAATATAACTGAGATGACTCGGCCGTGGGTTATCCTGGATTGGTTGGCAGCGGGAGAGGTTGCGAATGCGGGCACAAAAAAGGGAGGAAGGGGAAGAAGGGAAAGCAGGGGGATTAGAAGGCGGCGAGGAAGGAGATTGTGAGGAAGAAGGCGGCTAGGGGGCGGCGAATGAGACGCCAGATGAAGGAGTCAACAAGGAGGAGGGTGACGAGGAGCGCGAGGAAGAGGAGAATCGAGATGACTCGGCCGTGGGATATCTCTGTGGTTGAGACGAGAAACAAGGGGGCAAGGAGGAACGGGGAAACAAAGGCGAGGGGGAGCAGAGGGAACGGGAAGCAGAGGGAAGGGGGAGGGGACGAAGGCGGTTGGAAGGCGGGTATAGAGGCCAAGCAAAAGTATTTCGAATTTATCATATTCCTCTTTTTAGATTTTGTTCACAGCTGTTAACTCACTTCATCTTTCGTTTCGTCTCTTCCTCAATCTCCGCCGATCCCTCCCGCGTTTTAAGGGCCGCCGACCCCACCGCCTCTACCCCCTTCTCAACCTCCTTAGCCGCCGAGCCGGCCGCCCCGAGAAGCTCCGACGAAGCTTCCTCCGAGCCGCCCAGTTTGAACTTTAACCGCCGCCCGTTCACGCCGAGCCGCTCCTCCGGCCCGGCGCTAAGTTCGTCAAATGCGTCCCCGAGTGACACGTCAGCGGTCACGGCAGCCGAGCCGCCCAAGCGGTGAAGCGCGCCGTTGCCGGAAGAGCAGAAGGCGCTCGTGTCCACGTCATCACCGTCGTCGCCGTCGCATGCCTGATGGGAGGAACGACGGGGTGAGCGACAGGGTGAGCGACGGCGTGAGCGACAGGGTGAGCGACGGGATGAGCGACAGCATGCCCACCTTAACGTCGAGACGCGGCGTCGCCGTGGTTGGCGGTCTCCTGAGCTGGAATCGCAACGTGGCCGACCTGTCGCACCCGGCGGTCGCACGGCGTCGCACGATTGGCTCTGCGAGAAACCGTCGCGTTGCACGGCCGTATGCGAAAGTATCCAAGCCGCTGCTTCTGTCGCGCAGCCGTAGCCTCGCGGGATCTGCTTTCTGACACGACGCTACGTTTGTCGTTAACGTCATCGTCAACGTCATCGTCGGTCTTCCTGCCGTCTGCGAATCAGCGAATCTCCGTACAGTGTACACTGTTGAACTCGCCAGAGCCGTCGATTTCCCATTTCGCGCTCTACAGGAGGTGATCGCCGCCGTTGAAGTCGTCCCAGTGAACCCCCCCGCTACTGTCACCTCAGTTGGCATCACCGTGTGTCGGAGAATATCGCCAAGAGGAGGACGGAGCAACAGACGTGAACCTGGTAACCTAATTAGCCGCGCCAACGCCCTCTGATGACCGTTTAGAACGAATTAAGAGCCCTCGTAAGGCGAATCTCCCTCCAAGCGTTTTCACGAAACCCTAACGAAATTACTTCAGAATCCACTCGATTCGTTAGCTTACTAGTGCCCCTTGCTGCTTCCTGGCACATGTAAGCCTCATTGTTGGTCAACCTGAGCGAGAATCTGTCAAACCCGCTGCGCAGCTTTTACGATTCCGTCTCCTCGGCACGCGGTTGAGCCCACTTACTTGGAAACTCAAAGAGCGCGCACGGATGCTTGGTTTAGCCGCTTTAGTAGTCTCTTGCGCGATTGGCAATGACGGTCGTCACGAAGAGCAATTCAGGCGACAGAAGCAGCACCACTGCCGTGACGAATTATGCATCTGAAGCAAGGCAAGATTATGCTACTGGAAAAAGGCCCGTATCTTATTTAAAATAGGTGGTTTGAATGCATCAGAGTGATGATATCTCTCTAATGCGCCACCTATTTGTTCACACATAGATGACCCCAAGCTCTAATGGCAGCTCAAGGCTTGGATGGGTTTGCTTGGCTTGGCACGCAAATTAGCAGCGAAATCTCCATGGAATGTTGTGGTACCGAATGCTATAGTAGTCGAACCGCTTTGGAAGCATGCAAACCACATACAAACGCTGGTCAGCAAGGAAACCAAACGTGCATTCCCTGTCGCCACGAAACCCAAGCCAGAGCGGATGCACGAAGCAAACCAGCCAAGTTTTCCCGCGGGTGCTGAGCTGAACTGAAGCCTGGAAAATCTACCGAAGGCCCGCTCGACGTGTCACGTGCCAATCAGAATGTTTCAATGTTCCCGCAACGTCATGCTGGCGTCGTGCGACGGCGGCAGAGAGCCGCGGGCGGCGGGAGCCCAACCAACCACCACACCAGAACTACAAAGGTCCGAGAAACCAAACCGAACCGAACGAGAACGAATCTGAACGAAGTAGACCGATGTTTCCTGTGACAGCCGTGGTGAAAGGAATGAAGAGTTGTTCGTTTTGACAGGTTGAAGCGAAATTTTCATGAAATGTGGGCCCAAAAGGCACGGGATTCGTCCAATGCGGCGAAAGGGAATATTCTCGCTGCTTGTGCTTTCCCAATCATCCAAGGAGAAGTTCGGCTTGATGCGCCAGCCGAGCAAGGCCCGAATTGATGCCTGGTGTCGGCGGAATCCACCGTGCTGAATAAGCATTAGGGCGCGTGTCTTTTGGTGTAGACGTTCGGATTTTTGGTTGAACTTTTGCTGGTTACCCTTTTTGCAACCTTCGCCAAACCTTTCGCAGGGACGTCGTGTGTCCATGTACACTATGTTGGAAACAATTGATTCTAAGCGCTTCTGTCGTGTCGAAACACCAAGTCAGAAGCGAAGCGAAGCATATCGAAGCACCGGCGAGTCAACCCTCGGAGGTTGAAAGTAACTGCTGGAGGTTACGCGAAAGTCAAAGGTCAGCGACCTTTGACCTGACAAGTACAGCGCGACAGCAAGGACACACAACTGACTCGCTACAGAGCAGTTGCCCGAGTCGTCACTGTATCGAACCGCAACAGCAACAGTAAAGTAGTTATAACTGTATCTCTTCATATTCCTTGTACTCTTATATAATCTTGTATCTCTTTGCTTTAATCAATCTACTTTGCCCTCACATACTAGCATAAGGTCGTTCAACCTCTTCATTAAACGCTTCCGCTATTACAATTGTGGTTTCTAGCAGAGTTCACATTGCAAAAGATCCTAAGGGCTATTTCTCAGCCCAACACACTATCGGGGCTGATGAAAGCACGAATCCAATGTTGAACTCTCATCAACAAACATGCTGGCACGAAAATGCAAGCGTGTGTCCAACTGACCACTGCCAACGACGATGCGAAGTCTGCGACATTCGCAGCTAGCATCGTGCGCACTAGCAACTGTTAGAATGGACTAAGCTACTAGCGGAAGCTTTAGTAGTCTTAGAACCTAGGAATCTTAAGAGCCCACTTCGGCATGAACCATGCTAGAACCAAAGTGATTTCAAGAAGTTGGGTTCCAACAAGAGAGAACCTTAACCTATAGGGTTTGGGAGGTGGTCCACTCTAAAGAGTGTACACCACAAGTTCTCCCAACCCAACCAATGTATTCTACACTAGTGTAGATCTGTCACTACATATGTCCATTGGACCAACCCGAATTAACCTTAATTTCAACACCCCCCCTTGCTCCAATAAGCATTAAGTTCACCCATAAATCAAAACACAACCCCTCCAGCGAATGAAGCCTTGGCCTTCGCAGCCATCACTCGCATGCCGATGCGCTCCAGGTTCTCATGCAGTTGCAAGCTTGTAAGAGCTTTGGTGAGCATGTCGGCATCTTGGAGGTGGGAGCGTACTGAGTGCACCTCGACCACCTGCTGGCGCACCGCATCCCGTACAAAGTGCCATGCCACCTTAATGTGCTTGGTGCGCTGATGGAGAACGGGATTGTGGGCAAGGGAGACAGCAGCCTCATTATCACAGAGCAATGGAATAGCCCCCCCATCCCCCACATACATCTCTGCAAACAAACTCCTCAACCAAATGGCCTCCTTGGCCCCCTCCGATAGAGCTTTGTACTCAGCTTCAGAAACGCTTGCTGCAACACTGTCTTGCTTTTTGCTATACCAGCTGATAGCTCCTCCTCCCAACTTAAAGATGTAGGCAGAGCGACTCTTGCCATCAGTCTCACCACCCCAATCCGAGTCGGTATACCCAACAACCTGCTCACCACCTTGGCGCTCATACCTGATGACACGATCAGCTGTGTCGACCAAGTACCTGAGTGCTCTCAGTGCAGCGCGCATGTGAATGCGTCTTGGTGCCACGCAGGACTGTGCAAGGGTGTTGACAGTGAAAGACATGTCTGGACGGGTGGTCAGAGCAGCATACATCAAGCTGCCAATGAGACTCTGGTACACCTTGACATCAGCTGCAACACCTTCCTCAGTCGACCAAGTACCATTCCTCATCTTAGAGAGATCATTGGGTGACATTAGAGTATGCACCCTATGGGTCTCCTTTAGCAGATCACCAAACCTTCCCTGGAGACCACGGACATACTTCTCCTGACCAATCTCCAACCACCCATCCTTGACCGACCTGCGAACCTCCACACCAAGGTACGTGGATACCTCACCTAGATCCTTCATCTGGTACCTCTGAGCAAGCACCTCCTTGACCTGACCGATCAGCTCCAAGCGTGGAGACACAAGCAAGAGGTCATCCACATACACCAATACATACACTGGCTCTTCATCCACAAACCTGATGTACAGAGCCTCATCACATGCACTGCGGTCAAACCCTGCTGCAATCAAGGTGGTACCGATCTCCTCATTCCAAGCACGAGGCGCTTGCTTGAGCCCATAGAGAGCTTTGCGCAAGCGATACACCCTACCTTTACCATCATCAAATCCCTCAGGTTGCCTCACATACACCTCCTCTTGAAGGACTGCATTGAGGTAAGCATGATCAACATCCTCCTGTTGTACATGCCACCCTTTTACCGCGGCTTCTGCAAGAAGCACCCGACCTGAGGTGAGCTTGCCCACAGGGGCAAATACCTGATCATAGTCCTTTTCAGGCTCCTGAGTGTACCCCTTAGCAACAAGGCGAACCTTGTGCTGTACCACCTTATCCTCCTTGTCAGTTTTCCTGCGGAAAACGTACCTGACCCCAATGGCCTTCTTACCTGGAGGTAAGTCGACCGGCTCTGGATCCCATACACCCATAGTGCGCATTGCATTTACCTCCTTCTCAGCGCCTGCCTTCCACGCAGGGCCCTCAGGGCCACGCAGGGCCTCGGCGAGTGTGCGTGGCACATCACCGGTGCTCACACCTGCCAGTGCAACACCTTCCACCTCCCTGGTCAAACACAGCATGCCCTCAACCACACCAGCATCCCCCCCTACCTCCTCACCACCTGTACCAGACTGGATACCAAGCACCTGCAAACCCGTAACCGGTGGTGGGGAGGTAGTCGCTGGAGGGGCACCCGTAGAGGGACAGACAGAGCGCTGACCAGAGGAGGAGGAAGAGGAAGTAGCCTGTGTAGCGGATCTCCGCTGAATGACCGAGGGGCCATTGAGCTGCTGCAAAGGGGTGGGCTGTTGCTGCACCGACACGCTCAGCGGTGCCGGTGGCAATGATGAAGGTGGCATCTCAACGTCGTCAACCACTGCTGAGGGTGGCGAGAGTGGAAGAGGGAGGAGTTGGGAAATCGCAGTTGCATCCAGCAGAAGCTCCCCAAATCCCTTTGCCTTGTCCCAATCCTTCCACATCACATTCTCAAGAAAATCAACATCCCGAGCAATGCGAATGCGCATGAGTGAAGGGTGCATGCGCCAACCCTTGCTCTCCATGTCCACCCCAACACAGACACACATGACAGCCCGTGCATCAAGCTTGCCACCCTTCTCATGCCCATGCAGCATGACACTCCCCATGCAACCCCAAATCCGCGCCATGCCCACATGCGGCTTCTGGCCGGACCACGCCTCCATTGGTGTGATGGAGGCAGGCAAAGCACTGTGGGTGACCCTGTTCTTAACCCACACGACCCACATCAATGCTTCACCCCACAAGCGAGCAAGTAGACCACTGTCGACCAACAATGTGCGAATTCCCTCTGCCATCGTCCTGTGCCACCTCTCCACGACCCCATTCTGCTGCGGTGTATCTGCGACACTCAATTAGGTTTTGATGCCAAACTCCGCTTTCCATGC